TTTTACTGCTGCATAGTATTCCATTGTATAAACGTACCACGGCTTTTTTATCCACTGATCTACTGATGGGCACTTGGGCTATTTCCAGATCTTAGCTATTGTAAATTGCACTGCAGTGAACATAGGAATGCATAGATCCTTTCTGAGGTATTTCAGGTTTCTTATGATATATTCCTAGAAGTGGGATCACTGGGTCAAATGGCAGTTTCATTTTTAATTTTTTAGGAAATTTCATACTGTTTTCCACAATGGTTGCACCAGTCTACATTCCCAGTGTACTAGGCTTCCCTTTTCTCCACATCCTCACCAGCACTTGTCATTTGTTGATGATAGCCATCCTGACAGGTGTGAGGTGTTACCTCATTGTCGTTTTAATTTGCATCTCTCTGATGATTAGGACTTTGAGCATTTTTTCTTCCGCTTTCACCACTCTTACTCAACATAGTCCTGAAAGTCCTAGCCAGAGCAATCGGACAAGATGAAAAAACAGAAAGCATCCAAATTGGAAAGGAGGAAGTAAAACTGTTATTTGCAGATGACATGATATTATACATAGAAAACCCCAAAGACTCCACCAAAAAACTACTAGATTCCATAAATGAATTCGGCAATGTAGCAGGATGCAAAACCAACATCCAGAAATCGATGGCATTTTTATACACCAATAATGAATTCTCAGAAAGAGAAAGTAAAAAAATAATCCCATTTACCAATGCAACAAAAAAAATCATGACACACAGGAACAAACTTAACAAAGGAGGTAAAAGACTTATACTCGGAAAACTACAGGATGTTGAAAAAAGAGAGAGAGGAAGATATAAACAAGTGGAAGAATATGCAGTGTTCATGGATTGGTAGAATCAACATCATCAAAATGTCCATACTAATTATTTGGGTAGTCCATACTACCCAAAGCAATCTGCAAATTCAGCGTAATCCCTATTAAATGGCATATTTCACAGATCTAGAACAAATACTCCAAAAATTCATATGGAATAAAAAAAAACCCTGAATAGCCACAGCAATCCCGAGAAAGAACAAAGTTGGAGGGATCACAATACCAGACATCAAGCTATACTACAAGGCCACTGTAATCAAAACAGCCTGGTACTGACACAAGAACAGGCACATCGATCAATGGAACAGAACAGAGAACCCAGAAATTGACCCAAACCATTACACTCAATTATTTGACAAAGGAGGCAAGAGCATGCAGTGGAGTCAAGACATGATGTTAGGAAAATTGGACAGATACATGCAAAAAAATAAAACAACCACCAACTTACACCATACGCAAGAATGAACCCAAAATGGATAAAATACTCAAGTGTAAGTTGTGAAACCACAAAAATCCCAGAAGAAACCATAAGCAGCAAAATCTTAGACATCTCTAATAGCAATATGCTTGCCAGTACATCTCCTAGGGCAAGGGAAACAAAGGAGAAAATACAGAATATGAAAATTCTGATAGACTATTTTAGGTTGCTGAAAAATACTTGTGGTAAGTGAAAAATTTTATCTCACTTTCGTTTTTGGAGACATTGTTAACATATAAAAATTGTATCCCATGACCCCCCCAAAATAAGGCACAAACAAGGTGTTTATTCCCTTTAAATTAGTTGTGCTCTTTCATGAAACAAAATTTAATGATATATTTATACAGTGAATCACCTGAAAAGATGTTCATCATCATTAGCCATTAGAGGAATGCAAATTAAAACCAATATCATTACACAACTGTCATCATGGCTAAATTAAAAAATAGTAACAATGCCAATTCCTGGCCAGGGGTGTGGAGAAACTGCATCTCTTAAACATTGCTGGTGGGAATATAAAGTGATACAGCAACTCTGATGGCAGTGTCTTTAAAAATTAAGCATGCAATTCCCATTCAACTCAGCCACCATATTCCGGGGGTGTTTACCCTGGTCAATTGAAAACTTATTTTCATGTGAAAACCTATATAGGAATGCTTATAGCAGTTTTCTTTGTTAGCTTAGCTGTTCCTCAACAGGTGAATGGTTGAACAAAATATGGTACATTCATACCATGAATGTACTACTTCACAATAAAAAGGCACAAACTGTTCACCCATGCAGCAACCTGGATGAATCTCCATAGGAATGTGAGTGGAGCATGGAACAGAGTGCAGAATCTTGGAGGAAAGGTGGGGAAGGGTGGGTGAGGGGTAATCAACCAAAGAACTTGTATGCATATATGCATAGCCCATGGACACAGACAATAGGGTGGTGAAGGCCTGGTGCTGGAGCGGGGAAGTAGGAGTGGGCTGGAGGGAGGCAATCGGGGAAAATGGGGACATATGTAATACTTTCAACAATAAATGTTTAAAAATCCTATATAATAAAAGGGTAATATGCAAATTGACCCTAACAGCAGAGCAACTGGGAATCACTGGTCATTATGACACACACTGACCACCAGGGGGCAGATGCTCGATGTAGGAGCTGCCCCCTGGTGGTCAGTGTGCTCCCACAGGTGGAGCTCTGCTCAGCCACAAGCCAGGCTGACGGCTGCCAGTACAGCAATGGTGGTGGGAGCCTCTCCTGCCTCCTCAGCAGCACTAAGGATGTCCGACTGCAGCTAGGCCTGCTCCCCACTGGCAAGTGGACATCCCCCGAGGGCTCCCGGGCTGCCAGAGGGATGTCTGACTGCCAGCTTAGGCCCAATCCCCCAGGGAGCGGGCCTAAGCCAGCAGGTGGTCATTCCCTGAGGCGTCCCAGACTGCAAGAGGGCACAGGCCGGGCTGAGGGACCCTCCCGAGTGCACAAATTTTTGTGCACCAGGCCTCTAGTAAAATATAAAATAAAACAATTTTTAAAAATGTGAGTGGAAAAAGGCAATCTCAAAAGGTTACATACTATATGATTCCATTTATATAACTTATATAACTTTCTTTAAAATGACAAAAATCACAAAAATGAACAGATTAGTGGTTGACAGAGATTAGGGAGGGAAGTAGGTGTGTGTGGCTATGAAAGGCCAGTAGGATGTTTCTTTGTGATGATGGAAATGTTCTGAATTTTAACTGATAGCAATGTTGATATCCTGATTGTCATACTGCACTAGAATTTTGCAAGATGTTACCTTTGGGGGAAACTGGTAAAGGGTACGTGGGATTGCTTTGTATTATTTCTTAAAACAACATGCATGTGAATCTATAATGATCTCAAAATTAAAAGATTACTTTTAAAAATATATAATGAGTTATAATATAAATATTCTGATGAAACAGTATTTCCTCCCCACATATACTTTTTATTATTTTAGTCTCATTTATTGATGGTTCATTTGATCATTCTTTTATTCATTTCAGAAATAATTATTCTAAAACCAATGTCATCACCAGCTTGTCACTGTTTTAGAATTTAGCACATAGAGGACACTCCTTAATTTGGTTACTTAGTAGTAAGTTCTACAGATAGTTTTTATCACTTAAATGTACTTTCTATAGGTGTACTTGGGCGCCTTGGTAACATTAGCTATAAAATATTCAAAAAATTTTCCAGGGTAAAAATACTGTGGTTGTGCTTCATGGTGTAAAACTCATGGGCCTTAATTACACATTCATCTGTGTACAAGAGCGGAAAAAAATAATCAGATACTGCCGGCAGGCACTTGCTCACCTTTAAAGAGTATGTGAGTTTTTCTACCGGCAGATGTTCTGGCAGGCCCCTATGTTTTCCCAAGAGACGGCATTCTTTCTCCAGTTCAACTTTAGACTTATCTGACATCATTGAATGTGATCTGGAAACTTTTCTGAACATGTAACTTTGAGCTCTAGGTGCCTCAAAAGCTGGGTTTAGAGAGACAACTGTGCTTATGGATCACCTGGAGAATCATTTCTTAGTTTTCTGATTTGGTGAACGTCAGCCTCTGGATTAGCCACAGCTATGGAAAGCTCTCTTGCTGGTCTGCAGCCCTCCTATCCCCAAGAGAATGCTTTTTGCTGAATTGTGCTTTGACATAGTATCAGGGGTGCTAGTGTCTAACGAATGAAATGGGGTATTTGGTGACTGGAAATGAAATTTGATAATCTTAAGACTAGAAAGGACTATTTTTTCCTAATTAGTGGAAGAGTTGAGGGGAGTGCCAGGAGACTTCCCCACTTGCCCTCACAGCATATCACATCATGGGTACCCCATTTTGTGGTCAGACAAAGCCAGCCCTAACTGCAGCCACAGCAGGTGTGGGTCATAGAGACAGAAAGCATTTCCTCTCGGCCCTGTAGACTTGTGAGTGCCCTCGCCTCCTTTTTTGACCCTTTTTGGAGGATTCCTACAGCCTTGTGATCCTGGTTTGAGCAGTGAATTTCGGCCGAAGAACAAGATTAAACCCAATTTTTGGCTTTGAACTTTGTGGAACATGAATGTATGTTCTAGTGAGTTATGCTGTAGGATAAAGGGATTTTCCCTAGAAGTAATGTTGTAAATTAGATTAGACCCAGTCTAGCTCACTAGAGTTTATTTAATCTAGCATCTGTCTGAACCATAATATTCCATTAATATCCCATACGCAGCTCTCATTTATCTTTCAGCAGGTTCTCCTGGGGGTGATCTTTGGTCATTTTTTTACCTGTTTGTCTGCTATGGCCAGAGAGGATGCAATAGCCATCTTAGGCAGACAGGCAGTGATGGTGGTCTGGGTTCTTTGGTGGTTCTGTGCAGGTTCTTTACTTTGCAAAAAAATATCTAATGGCATCTAGCACCATCCTTGATGATGGAAAGGAAAAGGAACTTGTGCATACCTCAGATACAAAGGAGGACTGTGTAGAATTGTCTATGTGTGGAAATGTATAGAAACAGTGGTAGCATGAGAATAATGGGTTCAAAATCATCAAGGTTACTAATGGTGCATAGTCTGGTGTACAAATGAGCAATGTAATTTTAGTCACTTTAGTTTTTTTTCTTTGTCATTGTCATTAAATCCACAAATTCAGTGTTAACATTGCATCTAACTTTTTTTTTTCTTGTCTTTTGTAGTCTCAAACCATGAATTATGTGGGACAGCTGGCTGGGCAGGTGATTGTCACTGTGAAGGAGCTCTACAAGGGTATTAACCAAGCCACCTTGTCTGGGTGCATCGATGTCATTGTGGTGCGGCAGCAGGATGGCACCTATCAGTGTTCACCTTTTCATGTTCGGTTTGGGAAGCTGGGAGTCTTGAGATCCAAAGAGAAAGTGGTGAGTGCAGGGCACAGCCTGTTCTCCAGGAGGGTGAAAAGTTAGATGACAGCAATGAGCAATGAGTAAATCATTACTGTGAGCTCTTTTATTTTAAATTTGTATGATGTTGAAGACAGTGGTATGAGAAGTCAACCTTAATTGCATTTTGAAGTTGCTTCTAAATTCAAAAAGCCCTACTACAGGAAGTCTCTCCAAAGGAAATCTCCCTGTATTATTTAGACTGAAAATTATTTTGATAATCCTATGTGCTGCAGCTCAGAAGAGCAAAACAGAGAAACTGGAGTTATAAATGGGCATGTTAGGTGTATTTAGAAAAAGTTCCTTTACCTTAGATAGCATTTCAAAATATTTAGGGTAATGCCTTCATAACAATTCTGAATGGAATAGACTGACATAATCAAGAATATGTTACATTTGTTTAAACAGTTAATGCCAAAATTTTTTGTTTGTTTTGACAAAGCTGTAAAATCTTATTTGTAATCTAAATTTTGTTGATATCAGGACTTGTCTCCAAATCCAACTGAAATGTAAACCCACAGGCCATAGGCTGGTTGACTTCTATTTATTTTAGGGAAGATTCATTTAAAAAGACATTTGTGTTGGCTTTTCTTTCTCTTACATTCTCTTACCTCCAGGTAATGGATCAACTGGAGGTAAGGTTTGTTAGTACATCTGATGTCAATCTAGTCAGAAAATTGAGCTAATAATAAAACTTTGCAGGTACATACTACTCTTGGCCCACAGTATCTACCTAAACCAGTGGTCGGCAAACTGCAGCCCCTTGAGTGTGGTTCTTCCACAAAATACAACGTGCAGGCACGCACAGACAGTGCGATTGAAACTTCGTGGCCACACTCAAGGGGCCAAAGAGCCACATGTAGCTCGCGAGCCGCAGTTTGCCGACCACTGACCTAAACAGTGTGGGGAGATTTTGTCAGGATTTTAAAGCACAATAAAAGATCCACACCATTTTCTGAAATAGAAGTACAGTGTATGTGTTAGAGGACCACTGGCATAAGTTGAAAACATCTATTTTCAGATTTGGACTATTTCACATAGCAGATCTTATTCTTTAAAATAGAAATTTCCCTTTATGTTAATTAAATTTAGGTTATTTTGAAAGTGAAAGATAAGGTTTATGGATTTCACAAAGTAGATTGAAAAAAACATCTCATTTTTCTAGGTATTAACAAAATCAGTATTCCACTGGAAAGCCACATTTGAGGAGGCAGGGTTTGTATGGTCTAGCCTCTGTTCAGAGTCACCCTTTGGAAACCAAAAGTAGTTGCAACTTGTTTAGTGACTTTGAAACTTTCCATTGCAAAACAGTGTTTAGCCACAATTAACCTTACTGGAATTTTTCTTTCTGATACCACTAAGCTGCAGTACTTTCACATTGCATTTGCTTTAGTAGAATCAGTTGTAATCTGTTTATGCACTGAAACTTGCCATTAGTTGCTCAAGGATCTATTTGTAAAGCTGCTTCAAATGTATTGTTTATTTTTGCTATGATTTTTTTTTTAATCAGATTGAATAAGTCTGGTCTTTCAAAGTGGAACTTATGTATATTATAGTGGCCCCGTGCACGAAATTCATGCACATTAAAAGGGAATTAATTAGAGGAAATACTGTAATATTGCTATTTGCCCTTTCTCTATAATAGCAGTGTGAGAGATGAAAGGAAATTAGTAAAATGTATATGAAAATAATATATAAATTTATTAATAAATAGTATCAAAAGGATATAACAAAACAGACATGACAAAAACAACAAAAACATGATATAAAAACAACAGTGATGCAAACAATGACTGATAAAGTGATTAAACTTATTCTAATATCTCCCTGCACACTGCATTAAGAGTGAAAACACTTTCAAAGTGCTTGACTAATTTCCCTTGTGATGAAGTATTTAGAACTTTAACATCACATGCTCTTCGAACTTGAGAGAAAGCAACATATAACTGACCATGTGCGAAAACGGGTTCAGGTAGGAATATTCCTACTCTGTCTAGAATTTGTCCTTGTGATTTATTAATAGTCATGGCAAAGGCTGGCATCACGGGAAACTGTCGTCAAATTAATTTAAATGGGAGGCCAGTGTCAGATGAGGACAAATCAGTTCTTGAAATCGGAACCACCTCTCCCTCTGCAGATCCTGTTAATACTTCAGCTTCAATAATGTTAGGTTGTAATCTTTTGATAATAAATCTGGTACCATTACAAAGACCCCATTTACTATTAAGATTTCTCAATAGCATGATGATTGCACCCACTTTCAATTTTAATTTATGACACGGCATTCCCGAATGAGTAATACTATTAAGAAATTCGATGGCAAAATTTTCCTTTTCAGCATCATCTGTTGAATCAATGGAATCATCACTCAAATATGTGTGAAAATCTCCATCAAGTATATTCAAAATTTCTTCATTTAATTTTTGAACGTGCTCATTTTTTGGACAAAGAATTGCATGTTTATAGATATATTTTTAACATTATCTATAGCTATACTATTTCCAAAGGTGGCTTCAATAATAGATCCATTACAAATCATTTCACAGGGGATTTCAATAATATCTATTCCTAAATGAAAACTGCTATCAAGTTTGCCATCTCCAAGTTTTACTAACCATTCACTATAAGCAGAATCCTCTGATCTCATATTTGTTGTAAGAGACAACTTTCTGAAACATCCCCAAGCATTACAGTAAACTCATTTGTACTATGGCCGATTGCATAGCATGCGGTACAATACTGAGACTTTGTCGAAAATCCCCTCCAAGAAAGAGAACTTTCCCATCAAATACAACATTCAAATTCATAATTTCTCTTAGTAATCTGTCTATGGTGTTTATAGCATGACTGGATGCCATGGTGCATTCATCAATAATGAGAAGTTGGGCCTTTTTAATAGTTTTAGCAACTTCACTGTTTATATCAAGTCTAGAAATTGAAGTTTCATTTAATGGAATTGGTAATTTATATTGGGAATGAAAGGTTCTTCCACCGAGAAGTAAATTTACAGCAATTCCTGTAGACGCTGTGGGTAAAACAGTACCACCACGACCTCTAATATAATGTATTAAAAGTTTATAAAGATATGCCTCCACACTCCGAGGTCCGGTTCCTGCCTCAAACCTCGCCTTCGCAGGAAACAGTTTGGGAAGGGTGCAGCCATTGCTAAAGCAACCCCTGCAGGACTGACTTCCTTCCGGTTGGTCAAGCTTTGGTTGTGATGGGTGTTACACCCAGGGTTTTTATATAAATAGATAAGCATTTGTGCATCTCAAATGATGACTGGGCAAATAAGATACCTTTTTCTGCATGCTGTATGCCTCTAAGAGAGTAATACAGTTCCTGTACAAGGTTACACAAATCATTGTGTTAAATATGTTAATTTCTTCTTTTCCACTCCTGGCTTGATATCCCAGAAACTCAAAAGATATTTTTGGGAGGAAATTTGGCTATTTGACCAAAACACAGCTTTCCTGTAACAATAAAATGATGTCCGCCTTGAGATTACCTGGCACTTTAGATGAACTGTTAGTCTTATTTTAGGTCAGTTTGGATTAGGGAAAGCAATTTATTGATTTTAAACTAAGACTCAATTTTCAATTATGCCACCACCAATTAACTGAACTTTAATATATATATCTTTTTATTGATTTCAGAGAGAGGAAGGGAGAGGAAGAAAGATAGAAACATCAAAGATGAGAGAGAATCATTGATCGGCTGCCTCCTGCATGCCCCCTACTGTGGATCCAGCCACAACCCCGGCATGTGTCCCTGGCTGGAATCGAACCTGGGACCCTTCAGTCCGTAGGCCGATGTTCTATCCACTGAGCCAAACCGGCTAGGACTATGAGCTGATGTTTATTGATGATGATTTTTCCCAGTGAGGACCATGCAGAGTTCAGTACACTTAGATTATGGACTATTCTACTTATATTTATATCATGTCTTTATCTACAGGGTGGGGCAAAAGTAGGTTTGCAGTTATGAGTAGGAGAAAACAGTTTATTTATGTATTATTATTTGTTATTGTGTTATTTTTCATATGAACAACTGTAAATATACTTTTGTCCCACCCTATATGTTTGCCTTTATATCCCTTTAACAGTCTAAAACTAGAGTTTACAAGGTTATTCATAAAAGTTTTAAAAGTTGGTATTCACTTATTATTGTACAATTATCAGATTAAAAGAATTGATTCACAGCCTAGAGATAAACAACTAAATTACTTTTAAGTGATATAATAGTAGTTCATATTATATATAAACACTCCTCACTTTGCATGGTAGTACAGACCTATAAAAATGACTGGACAAACTGAAACTGTGCAAAGAAATTTTTTATAATCAACGAGAAAAATTAGGATTCTTCCATAACCTTTATAAATATTTGTCATAACTTGAAAAATTCTTTTTTTTTAATTTTTATTTTCTAAAAATCTTTATTGCTGAAAGTATTACATATGTCCCCTTTTCCCCCCATTGACCTCTCCCAGCTTGCTCCCACCCCCCACTCCAGGCCTTTACCACCCTATTGTCTGTGTCCATGGGTTATGCATATATGCATACAAATTCTTTGAGTGATCTCTTCCTACCCATCCACCCCTGACTTCCCTCTGAGATTTGACAGTCTGTTCCATGCTTCTGTCTCTGGATCTATTTTGTTCAACAGTTTATTTTGTTCATTAGATTCCACATCTGAGTGAGATCATGTGGTACTTGTCTTTCTCTGACTGGCTTATTTTGTTTAGCATAATGCTCTCCAGGACCCTCCATGCTGTCTCAAAGGGTAAGAGATCTTTCTTTTTTATTGCTGCATAGTATTCCATTGTGTACATGTACCACATTTTTTTATCCATTCACCTACTGATGGGCACTTGAGCTATTTCTAGATCTTAGCTATTGTAAATTGGGCTGCTATGAACGTAGGGGTGCATGCATTCTTTCTGATTGGTGTTTCTTAGGATATAGTCTTAGAAGTGGGATCACTAGGTTAAATGACAGTTCCATGTTTAATTTTTTGAGGAAACTCCATACTGTTTTTCATAATGGCTGCAAAAGTCTGCATTCCCACCAGCAGTGTACTAGGGTTCCCTTTTCACCACATCCTCGCCAGCACTTGTCATTTGTTGATTTGTTGATGGTAGCCATTCTGACAGGTGTGAGGCGATACCTCATTGTCATTTTAATTCGAATCTCTCTGATGATCAGTGACTTGGAGCATTTTTTCATATGTCTCTTGGCCTTCTGTATGTCCACTTTGAGAAGTGTCTATATAGGTCCTTTGCCCATTTTTTTAACGGGATTGTTTGTCTTTTATTAAGTTGTATGCGTTCCTTATATATTTTGGATATTAACCCTTTATCAGATGTATCATTGTCAAATGTTTTCCCATACAGTGGGTTCCCTTTTCATTTTGTTGATGGTTTCTTTACTGTGCAGAAGATTTTTATTTTGATGTAGTCCCATTTGTTTATTTTCTCCTTAGTTTCCCTTGCCCTAGAAGATGTAGCCACAAACATATTGCTATGAGAGATGTCTGAGATTTTGCTGCCCATGGTTTCTTCTAGGATTTTTATGGTTTCACGACTTACATTTGTCTTTTATCCATTTTGAGTTTATTTTTGTGTATGGTGTAAGTTGATGGTCTAGTTTCATTTTTTGCATGTAACAATCCAATTTCCCAACACCATTTATTGAAGAGACTGTCTTGACTCATTGTATGCTTTTGCCTCCTTTGTCAAATATTAATTGAGCATAATGGTTTGGGTTCATTTCTGGGTTCTCTGTTCTGTTCCATTGATCTATATGCCTGTTCTTGTGCCAGTACCAGGCTGTTGCAATTACAGTGGCTTCATAGTATAACTTGATAATCTAGTATTGTGATCCCTCCAATTTTGTTGTTCTTTCTCAAGATTGCTGTGGCTATTCAGGGTCTTTTTGGTTCCATATAAATTTTTGGAGTATTTGTTTCTTAATCTTTGAAATATGCCATTGGTATTTTAATAGGGATTGCATTGAATCTATAGCTTGCTTTTGGTAGTATGGACATAATAATGTTAATTCTACCAATCCATGAACATGGTATAGTCTTCCACTTGTTTATATACTCATCTATCTCTTTTTTTAACGTCCTGTAGTTTTCTGAGTACAAGTCTTTTATCTCCTTGGTTAAGTTTATTCCTAATTAATACTCTGTAAGTTTAAATCAGCTTCTAACTTTTCAGCCTTTGAACTTTCAATGTCATGAAGTATCTTTGAGAGTTCCTTAAACCTGAAAATTTTTTGCCTATGTCACTTTCCTCAGGACCATCTTCATCGTTTTCGTCACAACCACTTTCCTATTTGTGGATAAGCTCACCTTCACCAAGTTCCTTGGGCTGCACATTTGAGTCTCTTGAATGGCAGCAGGGTCACTGTTCCCACCATCAGCTATTTCTTCTTCATTTTAAAAAAAATCTTCACCCAAAGACATATTTAGAAAGAGGAAGGTAAGGGTAGAGAGACAGGGGAGAGAGAGAAAGAAGCATCGATGTGAGAGAGAAACAGCGATAGGTTGCCTTCCATATGTTCCCCGACTGGGGGATCAAACCTGCAACCCCGGGATGTGCCCTGATCAAGAATAGAACTGGCAGTCTTTTGATGTACGGGGCAACGCTCAACCACCTGAGCTACTCTGTAACTATTTACATTTCATCTGAGTTTTACTTCTAATACGATTACTCTTTTTTTCTGTACTGCACTTTGATCTTGGCCAGTTTCCTTTTTCAATTATTCGTTTTTATAAAATGTTACATGAGTTTATCACTGGAGACAAGGAGGCAACACAACTCTGCTTTATTGTCTGAACCAAGTAACAGTGCTAGGACCAGTCACCAACAGACTTTGAAAAAGTGACAAGATAGGTTATTGATCATGATGGGCATCTATTATTTATGTAGTGATTTGTGGACAGAAGAGCTGGCAGTGAAATTTGTACTTTCTATAGTTACTCACAGTTAACATACATTGGTAACTGAAATTTGTGCTTATCTGAACTGCGCAAAGGGAGACATACCTGTGCTATAACTCTGAAAGTGCTCAGATGTTTGCTTACGATAATGTTCCCCCTATTCTATGATATTTGGGAATTAAATAATTTAAAATGTTTATATGTTATAAAAATGATAAGACATTTTCTTTCAATCCCTGATTACCATCCCCTCCCACACTATCCCCCAAGGTTTGTTTGGGGTTTTTTAGGGGTGGGATATGGGGCAGGTAGCATTGTTTCTCTGGGGCTGTCACTCTAGGAACTTCATTACTAAGTTTGACTTGAGAACCCAGAATTTAGCCTTAGTTTAACCTGAATGAAAGACTCTTAATGCTAAATTGCACTTTGTTTCTCCTTTTAGATTGATATAGAAATCAATGGTGATGCAGTGGATCTTCATATGAAATTGGGTGACAATGGAGAAGCTTTCTTTGTGGAGGAGACTGAAGAGGAATATGTGAGTTCTAGTGGGTCATATCCACTTTATTCATTGTATTCAGGCCTCTGGTGCATATCCCAAAACAGAAATATTCAGTTTTCATGGTTGGTTGTACGTCAGAAAGGAGCTGGAGGAGTGGAGAAGGATCTTTTCTCCATGCCAGATTTCAGGGTTCAGAGAGAATGCAGAAGGCTTTCATACTTGCTTTGTTTTAATAAGGAAAGGCACATCTTTTTCCCTAACTTTAATGAGCTTTCTTAGTGTCTGTTACAGTTTATACCTTGACTTGAATACATTTGAGTTCTGCCTAAGTAATCAAGGTGTATGTCTTCAGATTATGTGTGTGTTGGTACACATGTGACCTTTAAACTTGGAAAGCAAGTTTACCATTTTGATTTGGGACATTGTATCTCAAACCTTGAATAGTCACGGTGAAATTCATTATGGTCTCAAGGGAATTAAATCAGCCTATACCCTTTATAAGCAATTACTGCATGCTTGGCTTCTTTAAGCAAGAGAGCACAACTTGTCCTTACCAACACACATTCCCTCCCCCTCCTACCCCAACCTCTTCCCCATCCCCCTTCCCCATCCTTCTCCTTCTCCCTCTCTCCCCATTCTTTTCCCTCCCCTTCCCTCCCTGCCTCTCTTTCTCCCTCCCCTTCTCCCTCCTTGCCTCCCCCTCTCCCCCCTTTCCTTCCTCTCCCTCTTTCCCCCTCTCTTTCTCTACCCCTCTTCTTCTCTCTCCCTCTCCTCCTCTCTTTTGTATCCATTGATTTGAATTGGTGGTAAACTATCCTTAATAGATTTAATGAGGATCTTTTAAAAAATTCTTAGAACGCATTGTTAAATCTTTCATCATCTATATCTATATCTATCTATCTATCAGCCTAAGTGACCATTTGACCGTCCAACTGGTAGCTATGATGTGCAATGACCACCAGGGGGCAGACACTGCAACCAGTAGCTATGACACGCACTGACGACCAGGAGCTGCCGAGCTGCAATGACTTGGCAGCTGTGGTTCTCAGGTGACATACCTGGAACCAGAGAGGAGGGAGCCCGATTCCGGGGTGTGTCACTCAAGAATTGCCCTCTCACAATCCAGGACCCCTTGGGGGATGTTGGAGAGCCTGTTTCGGCCCAACCCCCACAGGCCAGGCCGAGCGACCCCACCGGTGCACGAATCTGTGCACCAGGCCTTTAGTAAAGAATAAAATCTCAGATCACTATGGCCCATGAGCTTAGTTGGTTGAGCATTGTCCCATGCACTGAAAGGTCACAGTTTCAATTCCAGGTCAGGACACATAATTAGGATGCAGGTCTGGTCCCCAGGGTGCATGCTGGAGGCAACTGATAGATGTTTCTTTCTCACCGATGTTTCTCTTTCTCTCTCCCTCTCCCCTCCTCTCTCTGAAATCAATTTAAAATATCTATACTAATAAAAGGGTAATATGCTAATTAGACTGGACATCTTCTGGATGTCCCTCCGGACAAAGCCATGGTTGGGCGGGGGGCCCCGAGGCAGAGGTGGTTAGGGGCGATCAGGTCGGCATGGGAGAGCAGTGGGGGCAATCAGGCCGCAGGGAAAAGCAGTTAGGGGGTGATCAGGCTGGCAGAAGAGCAGTTAGGGGACAATCAGGCTGGCAGAGGGGCAGTTAGGGGGCGATCAGGCCAGCAGGCAGAGGTGGTTAGAAGCGATCAGGTCAGCAGGCAGAGGTGGTTAGAGGTGATCAGGCCGGCAAGGGAGCAGTCAGGGGCATCAGGCTGGCAGGCAGAGGTGGTTAGGGGCAATCAGGCAGGTGAGCGGTTAGGAGCCAGTGGTCCCAGATTGCAAGAAGGATGTCCCGGATTGGAGAGGGTGCAGGCTGGGCTGAGGGACCCCCCCCCTCCCGTGCATGAATTTCGTGCACCGGGCCTCTAGTATACATATAGATTATCATGTAAAAAAAAAAAGTACAAGTAAACTTTATAACAAAAACTATTTAATTAAAAGACCTCTGGATATCAGAGACCACAGCCTGTCACTTTGATAATATCCTATCATTGCAGTTTCTCTCTAAGTATGTGTTGTTGGTGAATACAAATTTTGCTTGGGAAAACAAAACTTTGGCCTTGGTGTAATATATTTACCAAACCTAAATTCAAATGCTTGATTTAAAACAATTATGGAAACCCACTTATTTTCAGTATATTACATAAAGAGTGTTCTGAATTATATGAGGCTAATTTGGATCTCTGTTACCTACCTTCCATTTCCTCCATGATATGAAAGAATGAAGCAAATGATTATGAAGTTAATTTCCTGAACACCAGACTTGATCATTTATTTAATAATAAAAGAGTTTATTTATAATGGTTGGGATTTATTTTCTTCTTTTTAATTCCTAAAAGGGTATCTTAAATGTTTTACAATTTAAAAATCCACTAATTTTATTTGTTACAGAGTATTGTTTCTGTTTAATCATCTTCCTCCATCTTCAATTAATTTGGCAAACACAAGCATTAACTATAAATTTTACCATAGTTTCTCACTTCACTTAACCCAGTGGTTCCCAACGTGGGGCACACGCCCCAAAGAGGGGGCAATTTAACTTTTAAGGAGGCCAATTTGAGAATGAGTTATTAACAGTGAATTTTTTGCATTTCTTATGGTTCTAGGGGCCTCGTATACAGTATATAAATGTATATTTTGACATATTTATGCATGTCAATTCATGTCAGTTCTCTATTATGTTTTGAAACTTTATTTGGTATTTTTTCATGTCACTTCATGTTACTATTTTTTTAAACAATTTCTTAGTGATTTCTTCCTCAGTACTTGCCTTCTTTTATTTTCCTCTTTCATGGATGCCATATTCTTTGGAAGCTTGTTTAGATCAAGTTAATGGCCTTTTAGGCTTCCTCCACGTGAATAGGAGTTCACTTTTTGAATAATAAGAATTATATGTCACAGGATGGGCATCAGGATTTTATAGATGCTTAGGTGGGGCATGGCCAAAAAAAGGTTGGGAACCACTGTCCTATTGTCCGTTGTCTGATGGGGTATTTTTGTCCTTGCCTTCTGCTTTGTCCGTTTTTACTGTTCTTTGTAAGTTCTTTACAGATGCTTTGTAACACTTCCTTGGAATTCATCTGCTGCTGCTTTGAATTTCTTTTTACAGATAATTTAATTGGCTTTGCTTTAATTATAGCTTTCATGTTCCATGCTGTCTTGGCATAATGGTTCCTCCAAACATATTGAGTTATGTGGACCAAAGTGAGCTAGTAAAGCTGTGTGCAATAAAGTAAAGACCTATATAGAGTGGGCAGTGCCCCAGTTCAGTGTGACTTTCTTGCCTTCAGGGACTATTGTTTCTGCCACTACGAAAATTTAGATACGCAAAGAATTTATTATTATTTTGGTTGTCCAGTTTGCCGTGGACAACTTTTCTTTCTTTATGTTCTCTTTAAGGAAAAACTTCCTGCTTACCTTGCCACTTCACCAATTCCTACCGAAGATCAGTTCTTTAAAGATATTGACTCCCTTTTGGTAAAATCGGTTGGAAATGAAAGACCATCTCAGAGTTCCAACATCTCGCACATCTTGGAAACAGAGACGGTTTTTACTCCAAGTTCTGTGAAAAAGAAAAAAAGAAGGAGAAAGAAATGCAAACAGGACAGTAAAAAGGAAGACCAGACAGTTTCCCCTGCTGCAGAAGACACTATGGATATGGATCTGAGCTCTGATGATGACAAGGGGGCCCAGTCAGCAAGGTAGGACTCTCAGTCTGGGAGGGCTCTTTGTGCAGATGCCAGATGTTCATGCATGCTCCGAACAGAACGCAGCTAAAATGAGAAGCTGTTTCTTTTATGGGTCTACAGTATGAGGTTTGGACTTGTTTTTCCCCTTGGCAGTTTGTTGTGGAATCAAGTAGGAAAGGCATTTTCTTTTTTTCTTTCCATAACTCGACAAAATTTGCCATCAGACATCCTGCGGTAGTGCTCAAATATCATTTAAAACAGACTGGCAATGTGTGTCTTCTCATCCAGTAAGTTTCCAAAAGCCAAATAAATTGTAAGTCTCAAAGAAGATCTGAACTAGTGACTCACCTCTGGGTACGCAGATACAAACATCAGGACTATTTATTTCCTAACCCAGTGGTCTTGTGCTTGGTATCTCACCTATTCCTGAGAATTATTAAAAAGAAGAGGGGAAAAAAAGATTTAAAAATACGAACAATAAAATGTCAAACACGTATCTGTCAACAAATGAATCTAAAAAAAGGAAACAAAGCAAAACAGAAGCAGAATCATAGATACAGAGAACATTTTGTTGGTTGCCAGATAGGAGGAGGCTTGGAGGTGAAAAAAGTAATGGGATTAAAAAGTACAAATTGGTTTTTACAGATAGTCATGGGGCAGCATAGGGCATATAGTCAATAACATTCTACTAACTATGCATGGTGTAGGATGGGTACAGACTTACCAGGATGATCACTAAGTTATATATAATGTTTAATCACTGGGGTGTACATCTGAAACTAATATAATACTGTATGTCAACTGTAATTGAAAAATAAAAAAATGATTAAAAATTTTTAAAAAAACACCCTAGTAAGTTAAAAGAGGAAAGAAGGGTTTTGTTTTGTTTTAAGTGAGAAATCTTGATGACTACTTATTCACCAGTGCATTAGAAGAGCTCAAAATATATGCCAGTTTTCAAGTCAGCAATGTCTGAGGTTGAAAGGTAGCAATTTGGTGTAGCATGTATTTTTTCATTCAAGATTGTATTTTTAGATTATCTCTCACCTTTTATACTCTGGTTGCACTGGCACAGGAAGGATCATAGGTGTGTCAGTGGGGTGCTTATCTTCATTGGTAACCATTGAACAAGAAGCTGCTGCCCACAAGCATCCCTAAATTTTCAAATCTTTTATGAGAATTGGGGTAGGGGAGGATGGCATTGTGACGTGTGCTGATCCACTTGTATCCTTTCGTCTCAGCTGCTGAAAAGAGATTATGCCCTACTTCCTGGGAAAATAGTGCTTTAAAGTTCTCTTCATGAAAAATAATTTCTGTCTCTAGTTATAGAAACCAAATATATACCAATTGTAAACTCTGTTGTGACCTAGTATATGCTTGATTGACCAAGTTTTTGTTTTAAATGGTCAAGTCAGGAAAAAAGTGCTATTATTGTATTAGTAGAGGCCTGTTGCACGAAAAGATCCGTGCAATAGGCCTGGGTGCCGGAGGAAAACCGGTGCCGCTCCGGCCAGAGCCGCCTTCAGTCTTCGCTCCGCCGCTTCGTGCCTACATATGCCATCTTTGTTGGCGGTTAATTTGCATATCTCGCTGATTAGCCAATGGGAGGCATAGCGAAGGTATGGTCAATCTTTGTCTAATATTAGATAGGATAGTTATACTCTGTTAATGAATAACATAGTATAATAATCCCTTTTTGGCAAAACTGTTAACTTATTTTCCAAAACTTTAAAATCTGGGTTGTAAATTCTGGAAAAAAATTCGATATGTGATAGTAATTTTTAATATATGAACTCCTTTTCTGCCCATCTTTTATTACTCATCAACTACCATATTTGTGACATTCTTTCTCAGTCTTCCCACACTGTAGATTTTTATTTCAGTTCTCCTAGAATACAGAATTCCTCTGTTACAACTAAATAACAGAAGAAAGCAAAAAGTACTTTAGACTCTACAGACCAGTGTAAACTATACCTAAAAAAAATTTAAAATAATTCAGCTGATTTGGGGGTGGGGGGAGGTGTCAGTGTCAAAACACTAGCTGGGAAGAGCTTAATTAAAGTCCCAAAGAACTTTAAGCTAATACAGAGTACCATAGTTTCTTAAAAAGAGACTCTTATTCTTTTCTTCCTGCTTCCAGTCTCTTAAGGGTTATTTGTCTTTTCCTTTCCTAAGAGAATATACTAGGAGACCCTTTGAGATCTTTTTTTTTTTTTTTTGAGATCTTTTATTATTTGATTTTGGTTCTATTAACAACAGTGTAAACAGTTCCTTTAAAAGTTTTGATTTATTTAAATTAAAATGTGTAGTGGGCAGGAAATGTATTCTTTTGACAAAAAACTCAAAATACACATGCGTCTAAATTTTATTTGGATTAACATTAATAATTCCTTAAGTGCCTTAATTCCTGGAAATGTTTTTGCCAACTAAAATTCTAAGATCCACCAGGAAGGATCCTGAAGTAAAACTTTCATCTTCAAAGTTTTGTTGACAAGTGTTCAACAACGTCCTTTATATAACATAGGTTTAGAACTCCTGAACAACCTGCAGCTTTATTTTTATTTTTTCTCTATTTTTCAATTACAGTTGACATTCAATATTATATTAGTTTCAGGAAAACAGCATAGTACCAACCTGGGAAGTTAAAACATTTCTGAAACATATGCGAAGTCATCTACTAGATGCACAAGAATTACTGTTCTAAAGGAATTTTGTAAATGAGTGCTGTAGGTGGACACTTGACAAAAATATTGGTGAATGCCTTTCTTGTCCAGATTGTGTGAAAGGCTGCATCAGCCAAATCTGTTGGTGTACTGATTTGGTCTACAGTGACATGGTTGCCAGCTTCTTTATTTAAATAACAACCTTGCTTGCATGGCATATCAGAATGCATGTAAACTAGGGCCTTGTAACAATTTTCATGAGTTTACAGGTTTGCCTTTTCTGTAGGTACCAGTGAATCATAGATGCTACCACTTGGAGGAACACTTTCCTGAAATTTCCTTAAAACAGGATCTGCTTAATTATACAGCCAACAGATATTAGGAGTTTGAAAAGACAAGATGTAACAGTTGTGAAAGTTCAGGTCATATACTGCAATAAGCGCTAAGCTGATAAAAGGTAGAAAACTGAACCAGTTAAACTTCTGATTGTGGAATAGCGACTTCCTGATCACTCCAGGCCTTCATTTTCTTAATCTATGAAATAAGGGAATTAAGCTACATGGTTTGCAAGGTCCTTTCTGCTCATTATTTAGATTCTAAAATAATTTGGATGAAGATATTTAGGGTAAAAAGTATTAACATCACATTAAGTGACATGTTAAAGAATCTGAAAGAAAAAAGAATGGAAAGTCTACCGTCTTTGCAGTAGTGAGACCTAGAGCTATGTGGTATTGGAATTTGGAACTTTTTAAAAAATATTTTTGTTGAATTAGAGAAGAAAGGAGAGAGATATAGAAACATCAATGATGAGAGAGAATCATTGATCGGCTGCCTCCTGCATGCCCACACTGAGGATCAAGTCCACAACCCAGGTTTGTGCCCTGACAGGAGTCTAACCATGATCTCCTGGTTCATTGGCTGACGCTCAAGCACGGAGCCACACTAGCTGGGTGGAATTTGCAACTTTTAAATATCTTACCCTCCTCAGCTCCTACCACTTAGGAAAGAAATTCTGTTTCTAGAGAAGATACCTAAAATAAATGATTTTATTTTGATAGACACCATTCTCTTTAAACTCTTTCCATTCATAACAGAATTAAGGTTAATTAAGGCTCCTGAAGGAGGCAAATGAAAGACAGCATCATTCTTTAAAGCAGGTTACTGTATCACAAGGTAGAAGAAACTCAGTTGGTGGAAATTGGAGTTTTAAACTACACAGAGCTTTGTGTAAGCTGTACCTAATGAACCTCTGTCCCTTCCTAAAATTGGACTTTCGGCTTAAATATAGTACAAAAGCCATGTTTGTCCTTCCAGAGGATGTGTGGACATACCAGGTGTACCGGTTAATAATGCGGATTTTGTAATCAAAGAAAACACGATAATTTCAAGAGAAACATCAAAAGTGCTTTATTCAAAGTAATGTCCATTGCTAGCTACACATTTCCCCCATCTTTCAGGTAATTTGTGGATACCATCCCAATAGAACTTTTCTTGTTTTGAGGTAAACCATTCAGAGACCCAATTTTCCACTTCTTTGTATGTTTTGAAGTGCTGCTCAGAAAGTGCATGTGCCATCGATTGGAACAAGTGGTAATCTGAAGGAGCAAGGTCTGGTGAATACGGTGGGTGGGTTAATACTTACCAGACAAGATCTTTTAACGTGTCTTTAACTGGTTTTTAAGTGTCCGATGGTGCATCATCATGAAGCAAAATTACTTTGCCCTGTCTTCTGGTCCATTCTGGTCATTTTACAATCAAAGCATGGTTCAAATTGATTATTTGTTGTTGGTATCGATCAGTATTAACGGTTTCACCTGATTTTAGAAGCTCATAATACACCACACCTTCCTGATCCCACCAAATGCAGAGCATTATCTTCTTTCCAAAGCGATTTGGCCTTGCATTCGATGTTGATGGTTGACCTGGATCAACCCATGATTTTGTGCATTTGGGATTCTCAAAATAAATCCACTTTCATTGCCAGTCACAATTTGATGCAAAAAAAGACTTTTCTTTCGTGCCAACATTTTACTGATGACTTTTTGGTTTTCCATTTGTCTTTCGTTCAGTTGATGTGGCACCCATTTTCCTTCCTTTAAAATCTTTCCCATTGCTTGTAAATGATCGGAAATTGTTTGCTGAGCAATGTTTAATCTTTCTGCAAGTTGTTTTTGAGTTTGACACGCATCTTCATCCAATAATGCTTGTAATTGTTGGTCTTCAAACTTTTTTGGTTGACCTGGACGTTCTTTGTCTTTCACATAGAAATCATGACTTTTAAAGCATTTAAACCAGCGTTCACAAGTATCTTGAGATGGAGCATGTTCACCATAAGCTTCCCGAAGTATA